CGGCGATGAGCCGAATAAAACATTCCCACTTTAAGACTCAACGTTTTACTTGCGTTTTACTTTTGGAATCATTGTGGGGCATTTTAATGCTCACCTAAATGCGGCTGTAGAGCTAAGACAATACTAAACTCCTTCCAATCTTTACAAACCTCTTTAGTTGGAAACCCGTATTGTAGTATTTAATTTAGATATGGTATCAATTTAATATTAGAATAAAAGTTTTGAAACAAAGAACTGTGTAAACTGTTAAAAATTGAACATAAAACTTCAACACCGTATAATCATCAAACTTTGGGTACTGTAGAACGCAGTCACCGGACATTCAATGAATATATACGTTCATACATATCCAGTGACAAAGATGATTGGGATGAATACCTCAGGTATTTCACGTATTGTTACAATACGACGCCATCAATCACACATAAATATTGTCCTTTTGAACTAATATTTGCAAAAAACCCACCGAACTACGATTTTTTAAAAGAAAATAAAATCAGCCCATTGTACAATCACGAAGCTTATGACAAAGAAGTAAAATATAGACTTCAAATAGCACAGCAAAGAGCAAGGAAATTAGTCCAAGAGGCTAAAGAAAAACAAAAAAAAACAAATTATGATAAAAGTAGCTATAGTAAGGAAATAAACATAGGAGATTTAGTATTAGTTAGAGAAGAGGATGATTTAATCATCGCGAATAAAACAGTAGATGCGCATTATAGCTTAGTACGTAGAGTTTTGCAACGATTGACTCAATACGGCCTCCGAGTAAAATTAAGTAAATGCAAATTTGCATACAACAAGGTAGAATATCTAGGATACAGGGTGACGGACAGAGGGGTACGACCTTCAGGGAACCACATTAGTGCTATAATGAATTTCCCAATGCCTCGAAATCAACGCGAGTTGCAATCATCTGTAGGATTGTGTTCATTTTTCCGAAAATTTGTTCAATCCATTTCGCTTTTAGCTCGTCCTTTATATGAACTGCTAAGAAAGGACGCCAAGTTTATATTTACAGAAAAATGTGTTAGCTCTTTTGAAAATCTGAAACGTAAATTAATGTCAGCGCCAGTACTAGCAA